TGGCAACTTATTGATAGTGTCAAATCCTGCGTCCCATGCATTTCTGTTGGCCAGTGAAGTTGCTAATCAAAGTGATTGGCCAAAAGAAAGTGCAGGGCAGGAGACAGTGACAAGCTATGACATTACCTGAATATGTTGGAGCTTCACCTGTCAGAATGGTCAAGGATTTGGCCATAACGGGTTTTAGAGGTTGCTGCAGTCTTGTGCATCACTATGTACCCAAACTTCATAGCTGCAGCAGTTTTTTCTTAACAAGTCCACAATAAGCCACAGTATATCACTACCTTTCTTCTTATAATTCCAGTTACATAGAGCCCTCTCTAAAGAGTACATGTCTTACATGAGTCATTGCAGGACACTTCAATTACGTCATTCTGCTTGCCACCACTGCAACATCTCTTGACTATCATAGGGGAGAGAATCTCCTCTATAACTCTGAAACCTCAAAAGACTTTCCATACATTTACTGAATGGCTGCAGCGTGATACCCAACCGACCATGTTCTTAATGTGAAGATGAAGGTGATGAGAAAGAAAGAAAGAAAGAAAGAAAGAAAGAATGAAAGAGAAAGAAAGAAAGAAAGGGGTAAAGGATGCTGTTCCTTTCTGCTGTTATACATCTGTCTCATGCACTATTGTTGTCCTCTAAAACAAAGAAGATAAGGTGAATAGAGCAGCACCCCTAAGAAAAAAAGCACAGAAAAGGTATGTGGAGAGTATGTATGGCTCCCTTGTGTACATACAAACAGTAGTGTATTTAGATTTTGTGCTGCCCTATGCAACACAAAAAGTTTACCCCCGCCCCTTGAGAGAGCGAGAGTGTTTAATAAGTGTGTGTATGTATATATGATTCTCTCTCCCTCTCCCTTTCTCTCGCTCTCCTTTCTCTCTCTTCCCTCCCTCTCTCCTCCCTCTCTTTCTCTCTCTCCCCTCTCTTCCCCTCTCTCTCCCTCTCTCTCTCTCTTCTCTCTTCCCTCCCTCTCTGTCTCTTCCCTCTCTCTCTCCTCTCCCCCTCTCTCTCTCCCTTCCTCTCTCCCCCACTCTCTCTTCCCTCTCTCTTCCCACTCTCTCGCTCTCTTCCCTCCTCTCTCTCTTCCCTCTCTCCCCCCCTTCTCCCTCTTCCCTCTCCCCCCCCCCCTCTCTCCCCTTTCTCCCCCCCCTCTTCCCTCTCTCTCTTCCCTCTCTCTCCCCCTTCTCTCTTCTCTCTCCCTCCCTCTCTGTCTCTCTCCTCTCTCTCTCCCCCTTCCTCTCTCCCCACTCTCTCTTCCCTCTCTCTCCCACCCTCTCGCCTCTTCGCTCTCTCTCTTCCCTCTCTCTCTTTCCACCCTCTCTCTCCCCTTTCTCTCTCCCCCCCCCTCTCTCTTCCCTCTCTCTCCCCCTTCTCTCTTCCCTCTCTCTCCCCTCTCTCTCTCTCTTCCCTCTCTCTCTCTTTTCCCTCGCTCTTTCTTTTCCCTCTCTCTCTTCTCTCTCTCAAATCATATGGGACTGCACACACACACAGTATAATTACTCCCCCACTTCCTCCAAGGGCTGCTGATCTCCGGGCAGCAGGAAATGTGGGCAGGGGGTGGTAATCATACTGTGTGTGCAATCACATATGATCTATCAGTGATCGTGTATCATGTGCTGCATGGATGACAGGAGGGAGAGCCCAGAGAACACAAAACAGCTCACCTCCTCCCTCCGGGCTCTTTCCTCTCTGCCACTTCTCCGCTCCCTGCTCCAGGCTGTCCCCTGGTCCTGGCTCTGAGTGCAGGTGAGGGAAGGAGCTCAGCGGAGAGTGGCCACTCAGGAACACCAGGGCACCCCCTCGATTCAGCCAGGTCTGTTTTGCCGTCCAGCAGCAGAAAGCCGATGGGAGGGAGAGGGGAGAAACCTCAAACTACCTTTCAGCTGCTGGAGGGAGAGATAGATGACTGCAACTGTTCTCCTCCACCACACCGGTACTCCTGTAGGTGGCCCGGACAGCAGGAGGATCCTGCTGTCCAGGCCACCTACAGGAGTACCGGAGGTACCTCTCTGATGGTGGCACTGCATGGCTCTGTCCGCCACTGCTCACCAGGTCACTTTCTCCAGGGGGTGGTGCCGCCCTCCCTAAAAATTGCCACCCTAGGCAAACTCCTTGTTTGCCTCATGGTAGATACGCCCCTGCATACAAAGTGAATATATACAGTATACACTTATTGGTGTCAATCATCAGGAATTATGTAGCTTGAGAACTACACTTTGCTATTAAAGAGGGGTAATTATATTTATTCAAACAGACTGAAAGAAACATTTTTATTATAAATAATAGTCAAGCTAAGAGCAGGAAAGATCCGTTTTATTTCTTTATGGATTTTTTCAATTACCTGACAAAACATTTTTAACATACGTGAGATTAAATTGGTTTATATAATAAAAATGTTGCAGATAGCAGCATGGTGAAATGAACCACAGCAACCAATTACACGTCAGGATCCTGATTTTCTGATAACAGTACTTTGGTTTCCTATACATGAACAGATCACATGTCAGGGTGATAGATGACATGTCTGGTGGATCACACATAACAGTGACCTGCCCAACAAAATGTTTCACCCACTTAGCTGACATTTCGTATGATGTACATGCCCCAAAGGTTTAATCCCTTTTTTATAAAGAGGCAAATGCTGATCTATTGCAAAGAATTTTCCAACATGACAAAATGTTCCTGTGTGATAATTTATTTTCCCCATCTGCAGATGCTCCAAAAAGTAATGAATACCTTCACCAACTATCTTGAAGTTAAAAGGGTTTGTATGACAGGTTTAACTATTTACTGGTAATCTCTGATTACTTGACAGGAACAAGCACCACTTGACGTTAATAAATATGCTCTGTGTTGGAGTACAATTAAATAAATCAACTAAGTGAGCTCTCACTGCAAGAGAATTAAATGACATTTCTGACCTGTTTATTTTTTATGTTGTGTTTTAGTTAAATTGTCCTGAAGAATACTCAATATTCAATGTTCCATCTAATGTCTAGGAGCACCTTTAGCAGTAAAACTGGCAACATGTTGTTTAATATTCCTTGGTCCCTACAGCAGGCATCACCTATTAAATGACAAAGACAGTCCTACACAACCCCAATATTGAAAACATATTAAAAATGCAGTATTCAGCCACATAGAACTTCCTGCAGGGTGTCACCCAGGATGCAAAGTAGCCGGTTTGACAAGTAATAGAGGTATGTGCAGAACCCTGAAGGGGATATTTACTAAAACTGGAGAGTGCAAAATCTGATGCAGCTCTGCATAGAAACCAATCAGCTTCCAGGTTTTATTGTCAAATTTTAATTGAACAAGCTGAAGTTAAAAGCTGATTGGATACCATACACAGCTGCACCAGATTCTGAGTGCACCAGTTTTAGTACATTCCCCCTTGTGCTTCTACAGACATATCTTACCTATCTTCTTTTTTTATAGTGATGGCTTCACTTTAAGCATCCAGAATCTCAAATCTTAAAGGGAAATGTGCTATGGAATACCACTGTTAGGTTCTCTAAGTGAGCTGGAAAGGTGATTGAAGATCCTTTATAGTGCAACATACCTTTACTAAAGAAAATTCTTTACCATAGGAAAAAAAGATCACAATATTCTGGACCAGACTGTAAAGTCACTTTCTACATTCATGCTGCCATTTATTAAACAGCAGTAGTAAACCAACCAAACTCTTATTCAAATCTCTGACTCTACATGAGAAATCTACCTCAAGCTTTAAAAACGCTTTGTATCTGAACATAACAGTTAGTTTTTCAAATTAGCTCTTGTGAATTTAGGGTTTTTTGTAATTTTATTTTTGGTAGGCTTGGTAGGGGCCCAGTCCAAGTACTCTATTACCCATGAGTTTTGCTTTGCAGCTTATTTGACATAGGCAACCCTACATGATTACATCAGTTTGGAAGTAGGTAAGAAAAGGCAGCATGCTAGGGAGTTAATATTTCGTTATCACTCTATCACTAGCCATGATATGTATGACTGGTGACATTTAGGATATCATAGGTTAAGAATAGGATACTTTGATCCTCTTTTCTCAAAATGCCTAAAAACTGCAAAATCTGCCTATAACGTGCCACACATTTAAACTTTAATTTCCCAGCTGTCAATTTCTAATGCATATTTAAATATGATGTGTTACTTTGAAACATCTTATTTATGAAATCCTGTAAAGCAGTCCCTTTGTAGTTTGCAAAAATGATGATATTATATGTTGCTTAGGTTACACCAAAGTGCATGTTTGCTCAGACTTTAATATGAATAAATATTTGTAGTATTTATAATGCTTTATCCATACTCATGCAATCAGTTGGACTGTACCAAGACAGAAATGTCCTTTGTTAGTTGGAAGAAAAATGCTGTTAATTCATTGCAGTGGTTTGGCACATAAATGTGTCTAAATAAATTGTGGACAAACAATCCTAAACATCCCTGCAAAGTGCAGGTTAAGGCACAATGGTATAGAGATGAATAAACTACTAGAGGAACTGTAATTAGAAATCATTATTATCAAGTTACATTGTTCTAAAAATTAGTAGCCAGTGTTTAAGTGTTCAATTTATCTCCACAAACCTAACTGGACTTTGACTAAGAAACAAGGTGGAGCTAACTTTTGTTCTACACACTTCAAATTTAACATATATATATATATTAAAAAGCCTGCTATAAACTAGTCTGTTTTTTCTCTGATGTCATTTTATTTAAATTAATAAATATCTTCTTTACAGCATCACATGTTTTGTAATATTTCCTGTTCAACCAGTAAATTTCTCTTTTCCCATATTGTATCGTCCTTGTTCAAGACAGAAGAATTACCATCTTGCCACAGCATCTGTCTGTAAGAAAACTGATCCATATTTGGTGAGGTCGATAAGTTCCAAATTTCACAATGTCATGTGTACTTTGCTGAAGAAGAGCTGCACAGGTGGCATTTTATATGCTACTATATACTGTACATAGCAGAGGAAATGCATAATAGGAACTCAAATAATTTTGCACTCATTAACAGAGAATCTTTTCCGTCTTGCTCTTTTTTTGGCCTGGTTGACTGCTGTCCGCACAGCACATTCAAACACTTGTGGTACTCCTCGGTTGCTAAGAGCTGAGCACTCCAAATATCCTTTGGCTCGAACGTCTTGTGCTAACTGCTTACCATCTTCAGGGCTGATGCAGGGGGCACGCATGTGATTCATCTCCCTTTGGTCAGTCTGAGTGGCCACAACCAGCACAGGGATATGGGGAAGATGTTGCTTGACCTCAGCTATCCACTTGTGCCTTATGTTCAGAAATGAAGTATGGTTGCTAACAGAGAAGCACAGTAAGACAATATCTGCATGCTGGAATGAAATTGGGCGGATGGTCTTAAATGCGTCATTGCCTGATGTGTCCCAGAGACCAAGACTGATCTGGTTCCCATCCATGAAAACATCCACCCCTGTATTCTCATATACTGTTGGCTTGTAGGAGTCTGGAAATGTCTCAGAGGTGAAGCGAACAAGAAGTGCTGTCTTCCCAACAGCAGCATCACCCACCAGAACACATTTGATGGCATTCATCTTTCTACACAGTTTACAGTTCAGCAGCTGACTGCTACCAGTGGTTCAGCTCCAATACAGTCCCATTGAGCCTTGAAGGGCTGTGCGCTGACAAATAAGTAATAGTGTCTTTGCAGTGTTTATAAAAGCATGTCAGTGTTCATCACGGTCACTTCTTTCTATTGCATCCCTCCTGCGGGCTTTTTGTTCTGTAGAGATTAAAAAGAAAGATTACTTATTTAAATTACATTATTTAAAATTTGGTGGCAGAATACAACTGGTATACAAAAAGAGCATATTATATAACTATTTTTACAAATTAATAAGTTTGTAAATATATTCACAATGGCAATTTCACAGTTGTCCATTCATCATATCTAACACACTATCTTTATTCAATTGATAAATAAGCAATGCACAATATATTGTTAATATTTAGTTATACACAAAGTTATATAACCAGCCAATCAAATATCTCTTCTTCTACTCATTCTTCTTTCATAAGTCTGACTACACTAGCTGTTTCTAATTAAAGGTAACCAGTGAAAAACAATATTCCTATTACTGTATGCAATAAATGTTACTGAGACTAAAAGGTACCCTAAACACAATAGTCACATCATGTGACCATTCCTGGTTGGGAATCAGCAGCCAAACTATATACCTGAAAAACTACAGACCAGTCAGCCTAACATCAATAGTATATACACTATTACAAGGAATGATAAGGGACCATATTTAAGAATTTGCTTATGAAAACAATATAATTAGTAGTAACCAACTTAGTTTTGTGAAGAACTGTTCTTGCCAGACAAATCTTTTAACATCCTATGAGGAGGTGAGCTGTAATTTGGATAAAGGAAGGCCTGTGGACATAGTGTATCTAAAAATCACATTTGATACAATACCCACCAGAAACACTTAATTTACAAATTAAGGTCTCTTGGCATTGATGATGTTGTATGTACCCAGAAAGAAAACTGGTTGCAGGAGCCCGTCCAGAGAGTAGTGATAAATGGCTCATTTTCTGAATGGTCTAGAGTTGTATCCTTAGACTAATTTTGTTTAACATGTTCATCAACGACATAGAGGTTGGAATATATAGTTCAATTTAAGTGTTTGCTGATGATACAAAGCTAAGCAGGGCAATAACTTCACAACACGATATAGAAACTTGGTTTGGCCACATCGTGGTCCAGTATTGGTCACCGATCCTCAGCACGAATGTCCTTGAAGTAGAAAAAGTCCAGAGAAGGGCAACACAGCTAATAAGGGGACTAGAGAACCTCAGTTATGAGGAACAACTACAAACATTACATGTATTCTCCCCGGAGAAAATACGCTTAAGAGGGGATATAATCACAATATACAAATATTTAAATGGGGACTGTATTTAAATTGGGAGAATACTATTTAATCTTAGGTCTCTAAAAAAAGGCATGGGGCCACACAATGAAGCTGGATGAAAAGCAGCTAAGACGCTCTTTTCCCATAATTGTGGTAATTTGTTTTACCTTCCATATTTATTTTCTGAAATAATCATATTAGTGTGGGTGAAAGGTTCCACAGAGGTAAATCTCTCACTGACTGGAAGAAATTACATAATTCCCATACTAAAAAATCATCAGACCTGCCTTTTAAACTAAACTCTATCAGTGCTGGGTTTTGGTTTGCAAGAAGTGAAAATGCACTCCTCACTCATTCCCTACAGAAAATGCTTTTTCACATAATGGAAACATTTTTCAACATTCTGAAAGCTAATTTGATGCCTGCATCTGATTTTTCCTTACAAGGTCACACCTGCTCAAATCAGAGGATTAAACTAAAAATGAAAAACACAGAAGGCTTTAAATACTTATATTGGACTTCATTTACCAGAGGTCATTTTCACAAGATTTGCTATGTGGAAACAATCTGCGCAATCCCCATAGTGTACCTTAGGTGAACTTTCAAAGAAATGTGGTTTGCTTTGACGTGTACGATCCAGCATCTGAATATACACCAATTAAGCAGTTGGGTACCTAAAGTATTAATGTGATTCCTCTCTAATGTTTTTGGGTCTAACTGCTGTTATGGATTTTACATGTGCATCTCCTAATAAAAAAAAAAAAAAAAAAACTTAATAACCTTCATGCTGCTTTGCTTGACACATGCAAATGAAATTGATTAGTGAAGTTGCCACATTTTTATGTTCTTTTTTTTTTTTTTTCTTTTTTACTTTAGTCCAACAAAACGTTAACAAGTGCATTCTTCTGTGCACCTTTAGAACCACACTGTAAGCATTGAACATAAGTGTTCAATATTCTGCCTGGGTTCAAGAATCACGTTTAGTATGTGAATGTACATCTATTTTTTATTGTGTTCTTTTTTGGCTGAATTTTTGCTTTAGATATTGTCCTATGGTTCTCTTTACTGATTAAAAGCTGATTTCATTCTTTGTGCATGTGAACTAGCACTAACTATAAAGGAATAATTGTAATAAATCTACCTATAGGGGGAAAATCTGTACATTCAAGGTCCTTACAAAATTCCATTTTAATTGAAAAATACATAATTCAAATTAACTTAGCTATTACTTAGATTCCCTCACTGGAAGAGTGAAATAAATTAATTAGATGTGGACAACCATCATACTTGTTTCAGTAACATTGAGTGGTATCTGATGTATCGTGGAATCAATGTAGCATACTGCTGTATGGTTGACAACAGTTTGACTGAATTCAAATATCTAAGTAATAATTAAATAGTGTTTATATAGTTTGCACAGTGATAAACCATGTAGCCTAAGACCTTACTTGTATTCTACTCATATACAGCTATATACAGCCATGTGTCATGAAATCATGAAAAATGTCAACAGTCTTCCAACACACACTGAGAACGCTGTCCTTAATCCTGGACTCTAATAAAATAACCATACTTCTAATTTTTATTATACTTTACATATACATATACCTGCACTAGATATTATTCTCCAGTCATTTAGCATGAATTTTTGAATCTCCTTTTCAAAATTGCAGTAAACAAAAAGAGCATCTTACTTGTTCTTTAAGCTGTATTAGGTTTATGCCACTTTGGTATGTTATACATTACTAATTGTTTTTTTTTTCCATTTTCAGCATATCATGTAATTATCTCTTAGATTGTAAGCTCCAAGGAGCTAACCCTCTTGTATTGAACTGTATTGTTGCTGTATTGTCTCCCGTTATATTGTAAAGCGCTGAGCAAACGGTTGGCGCTAGATAAATCCTGTATAATAATAACATATTAATTAAAGATTGGGGATGACCTACCAAAGAAAATGGAATGTTTACTGAGCTTAGTAAATAAGGTAAAGCTACAATAGACCAATCATGCCTCTGCACAGTATTTGGAATTCAAAATGAAGACAGGTTCACCGCTTTGTTCAGCGAATATCCTTTATTCCTTTAGTAAATTACCCAATTATGTGAACTAAACACTTCTTGGGTTTAGCCTTATCTACATAGATACTTATGTCTTCTGGAAAGAAGCCTTTACTTACTAATATGACAATCTAAAATGTTAATCCCACACTACAGTTATAAAATGCAATAAATGTTTTCTGATCATGCTGAAATGGTTCAAAAAGTTTTTGACATCTTTGTGCAATGAAATCAAACAAACATGTTACATTGTTTTTAGTATGGTTATTAAAGCTTACCTCTTACTTTGTAAAATCTGGAACTGGAAGGCTAGAGAACTCTCTATGAAACATCACTATTACTATGAGCTACTTAGTGCTACAACCCTACATTACATAATCCTAGTCGCCTGCTCACGTGCATAATTAACATAATTAGCATCTCCAACTATTATACTTACTGTACACAGTTAGAGCCCTGCTGTTCGGGCTTAATATGTATGCAGCATACGTAAAGTATATATATATATATATAAAAAGGAGTGTTAGAAGGGAGTTCATATCATACTATCATAATATTAATGACAAAATTACAAATTTTGACATATTGTCTGATATAACAACCAACTTTGCCAAGGTGGTCCTCTGCTTTACTGAGACTTACATTTGCGGAAAATATAAAAGATTGAAATGTACAGCATGTGCTATATTTCATTTATATACTAAAATATATCATTTTAGATGAGCACTAATGAGAAAAACTGAAAGCATTTGAAAAAGAAAAGGAAGACACAGTTGGAAGATTCTATGCTTATGCCTTTCTGTAAAATAATCTTTTCTAACTTCTTTGTACTAAAAAAGGAGTATAGAAAAAAACATCAGAGTAGGAAAGGATATGAAAGTAAAAAAATGTAAATAAAGTTAAAGCCATTAAACATGAGTTATCTGGTGTGTTACTTCAGTTACGATGTGAAATTACAAAGGCTCATGCAGATGAATATTACAATAAATTGCAGAACTCTCTGGTTGCTCCTGATAGATGCATATAATCACAGGACGGTGATGAGCCTGTTATTTACAGTTTACAAATATATTGAAAAACCAAAATCATTTGAGGAGGTAAAGCAGATTTGCTGTGGATCACCTCTGCTAAATCCCACTGATGTACAAATTGTATACAGTGTAAAGCTAGACATACAGTGGTAGATTACTGAACAAATGAACGTTCTCAAAATATTTGATGACCTGGTGAATGTTGTTCAAAAGTACCGGTACTTCAAAATTTCATTTGCTTTTAACATCTGATTTTAAAATGAAATGGACTTTGCCCAACAAAATAAAAATAGCATGCACTGTTAGAAATTTGTTAAAAATAAATTCTATCCTGCTCCTTCATCACTGAAGACAAAACCGACTGTTGGTTCGACCCCCCCCCCCAAAAAAATACCTTAAAGTGTTACTAAAACCAGGACCTTGCATTTGCTATATCTGGTCTCCCACACTACACAGAACATGCAATAGCAATTATTTTAGTAAATATAAACTGCTAAATACCTTTTCTCATCAGCAGTTGAAGCAGCCTTGTGACTTCTATCAGTGTCCGGCAGAACACTGGTTAAAGCTTGTAGGAGGAGTTTTCATTCTCCACTATGAGGCTACAGGACCCCTGTCCCTCTGTTTGGACCAGGGGCGGACTGACCATTTGGAAACTTGGGCACTGCCCGAGGGCCCGGGGTCAGTAGGGGGCCCCATGAGATGCCCCTGGTACCTTTTTCATAGGCTTTTTTGAGTTTGGGCAAGGACACAGGGGCCCCATGATCCCCTATTGCCCGGGGGCCCCATGAGTTGTCAGTCCACCCCTGGTCTGGACAGTGCTGATTGGCCCTGTGCTGATCACATGCACTTTCCCAAGAAAAAAAAACAATTTAGTAATACACACCAAACTGAGCATGTGCAGCTTGCCCCTGAGTCTCTGTTCTATCAGGAGATATACTGGGGACAGTAGAAGAAGGGGAGGATCAGAGAAGACAGGATCAAACTTCCTTTTTACACAATGTGGAGGATTAACCCCTTAGGTTCCACAGTGAGTATAACAAGCATGATTTACTGCATATACAGACTGATTTTACTATTGTGGGTTTAGTAACACTTTAGGCCAGTGTTTCTCAACCTTTGTTCAGTCAAGGTACCCTTTAAAATTATGGACAGTCCCGAGGCACCCCATTCTAAAATGTGAAAAACTATTCTAACAGCAACAACCACACATGTAGGGCACCCAACATTAGAGGTTATTTATCCTTCCAAAGCAAATACACTTTTGCACACTGGTACTGACTAGTATTCCAATGTTTCTCTTCTCCCTCAGTTTTTCTCCATTACAGAGCTAATGTGACCCCAGCACTGACAGACAGCGGCAGGGGAGGGGCAAACAAGGATGCTGTGCAGGCAGCTGACATCCTCCTTATCAGTTGATGATGTCATTGGTTGTCAGGATGCCGGCGGCTAGAAGGTCGCAATGGTGCACAATGAAAACCTGTGGCTTTGTGTAACCAAAAGGCAGGCTTGTTCCACCTTCTGGCTTGTATACAAGTTTTGGGCAATTTTTAGACATTTTTGTCAAGGCACCCCTGAAGAAACCTCAAGCCACCCCATAGTGCCAGGCACCCTGGTTGGGAAAGGCTGCTTTAGGCTATAACACTGCACCTGTCCTGTTCTTCAACCAGACTGTCTTCTGCAACCCCCCCCCCCCCCCCCCCTTCAGAACATGAGACCCACACACCACCAGAGTGGTGATCACTCTTCTTCTGCCTTACCCCCCTGGAACTGATGTGCACCTACAAAGCTCACTGACTGATGAAGACCCACCACTCATTATTTACTTTACTTATACACACTTTTTATCACACACCAGACACAGCTTTATTTTAAATGTAATATTCAAAAGTTTTTCCTACAATTGCATTGCATTTATCAGTTGATTTTTATTTAATTTTAATAATTTGAAGATTGATCATTATGGGACTTAATTCCAATTCCATTTTTGAGCTCATCTTCTTTTCTTTTGTTTACTTTTCTTGTTCATTATATATTACTGGAAAACTGATGCCAAAAAAAGTTACAGTAGCAAGCCAACCATAAGGCATCGATATGCAATTACAGCAAATTCAAGTAATGGTTTAGGCTCCAAAGTGGTAAAAATGCAGTAGTTAGGAGGGCCTGGTGTTCAAGCGTATGAGGAAAACAATACATATCGGAGCACAGGCTCACGTCTATTCCAACAACACATCAATCCTCGATCCAGGGGAAAAACAATGGGTGTAAAAGCAATGAAGTGGGGAAAGATAGGTGGTTAAGGGAGGGGGAGAACACCAGGGGTGTCTGTAAATATGTATTCAGTAATCATAAGGGCAGAGAGAGCCATAATATAATGTATCAGGGTTCCAGCAGGGAGGAATCAAGGCCAAGTGGAAGGAAGTGATCAATCTGTGGCTGCCATAGTTTTGTATCAGCAGGGACCCTATCCTGCAATGTGGCTTCAGTTTTAGCATGAATCATAGCTTGAGTAGTCCTGTTTTTCATTTCGGTAAGACAATGGCTGGGGGATTTCCAGTCCTTTGACAATGTTTGTTTGGCCACAGTTGTAACTTGCAGAAGAAGTGTATTTTGGTGAGTTCTGGGGGACTCCTATTAAGAAAAGCAACTCTTTTTCACTTTTAATTAGTCAACCCCTTCATTCGTTAACACTCCCACACTCATTTTTTTATACACACAGACATTCTTTTTCTTTCTACACGTCAAATAGGTATATGTTTGCTAGTTATTTCCACAGTATACAAGGATATACTAATGGGAAACTCAATCTATTGTGGAAGGGATTCCACGATAATGATCTGTAATCTAAGGACTTTAAAATGTATTTATGCTTTCGCAGTCAAATTATAGAAAATCCCACTATATGTTTGTTACGTGTTCTCATTTACACAGCACAGCTAAAATCATTTTTCAAAATATTCTTACCTTTTAAATGTTTCCTTGGAGCAGGTCTTTCAGCAGGCTTCAAACTGCTGTGAACAATTTCAAAGTGAGTCTGTCCCAAGACCGGGGACACACTGGGGTTGATTTATTAAAACTGGAAAGCGCAAAATCTGGTGCAACTGTGCATAGAAACCAATCAGCTTCCAGTTTTTTTGTCAACGCTTAACTGAACAAGCTGAGGTTAGAATCTGATTGGCTGCACCAGATTTTGTACTCTCCAGTTTTAGCAAATCAACCCCACTGAGTTTCCCCTCATTAACCTGGGCCTTTACGCTGAGCGGCTGCATATATGCTGCCCTATTAAAACTACTTATCGTGCTGGGAGCGCAGTCCTTGCACACTCCCAGCATGGCAGCGAGTGGTGATCAGTAAACTCTCAATCCATATTTGCAATCATGAGCTTTCCAATAATGTGACCGCTGTGACAGCCAATCACAGCAGTCATATGGCCCAAAGGCTCTCCTCGGTCTTAAAAGGCTGGGAGGCAGTTGGCACCAAGGGGTTAACAGAATGCAGAAGCCAATTCTAGATCCTTAGAGCTGGCCATACCCATATGGAAGAAAAATATATTTGAAATATATTTTAAAAATATTCTTCCCAAATATATTGAGATATATTTGAAATGCTACAATTTTGACCACATTCAATATATTTCAAAATATATTTCCATGATTATATATATATATATACACTGCATGTTGAAGTGCGTTTTTATTACAAAATATATGAAAAATATTTTTAAAAATACATTTCAAATATACTGTATGTCTTTAAATATACAAATCTACATTTTTGGAATGCATTTACAAATATATGTAAAAATATATGTTAAAATGACTTTTTTATATGTTAAAAAAATGTGAATAATATATTTAAAAAAAATATAGTTTTTAAAAATATATATATTTTTAAATATATTCTTCAGCTTTCTTTAACATATAAAAAAGTCATTTTAACATATATTTTACATATATTTGTAAATGCATTCCAAAAATGTAGATTTGTATTTTTAAAGACATACAGTATACTTGAAATGTATTTTTAAAAATATTTTTCATATATTTTGCAATAAAAAGGCATTTCAACATGCAGCATATATTTTATATATATATATATATATATATATATATATATATATATATATATATATATATATAAAAATATATGTATATATATATTGAAATATGTTTTGAAATATATTGAATATGGCCAAAATTGTTGCATTTCAAATATATGGCAATATATTTGGGAAAAATATTTTTTAAATATATTTCAAATATATTTTTCTTCCATGTGGGTAGACAGTTTGTTTTTTCTTTCAACTAACAGATTCCTCCATCCATACAAATGAGGAATGCTCTAGATGGGACATTGTATTCTGCCAGCAGGACCAGCTCCTGTCAAAATACAATGATCAGCAGCTGCTGCCACTGATCAACAGAAGTTTATCAGTATGTCCCTTCAACAGAAATCAATCATTGACGGCCTTCTATCAGGCAGGGGTGGCTGCACACTGATCGAAATTTGACTGGTCCCAGCTGACCCATCGAACTTCAATCAGCCTATGGCCAGCGTAATCCTCTGTTAGGACAAACAGTGTTCAGATCTAGTATATGACTCATATTGGGATCTGCAAGCACATTAGGGATAATTATGGTAAACTAGTTCTCTCCTTGACATTGGATAGTAGGAGAAAATTTCATTTTTGAAGTTTATAAAAAACAGCTAGTTATATGTAAGCAGCTATTTTATATATATATATATATATATATATATATATATATATATATATATATATACACACACACACACATTTTTTTTAAATGTCCTGGCCCACTTTTATGTAATTTTTATGTCTTGCACTGAACTGCATGAGTTTATAATTTTATCTGAAGTATACTGACATCTAGTGGCAGTTTTGAGTCACTGCAACTTGTTTATGTAATTTTGGTATCTCCCTCTGCTTTCCCTTCCTGTTTAGGGATAGTTTAGTATCAGCTAGATCCTCCCCACTTCTTCAGTGTTCTCTCAATCAGTGTTTGTTTATCACATGGATAGGTCTGAGGAAAGTGTTTGTTTTCTTAAACTTCAAAAGACTGGAAAACATCCTCTGTACTGCAATAAGCTGAAGTAAAATTTAACTGGATTCAACTTCTGCGTCTTATTGAAGTGTGCCTGTGCATGGTGCCAAGTCCTTAATCTCCAAATACGAAAGGTTTCTTCACAGTAAGAGCTGTGAAAATGTGGAACAGACTCCCTCAAGAGTTGGTTCTGGTCAGCTCAGTGGTTTGCTTTAAAAAAGGCCTGGATTCTTTCTACATACACAGAATATAACTGGATACTAACATTTATAGGTAAAGTTGATCCAGGTAATATCCAATTGCCTCTCGGGGGATCAGGAATGATTTCCCCTGCAGGAGCAAATTGGATCATGCTTTGCTGAGGTTTTTTTTGCCTTCCTCTGCATCAATGATGGGTATAGGATTATAACTTTTATTTCCTTGGCACTGCCCGATAAAGAGAGCAGAATAACAGCAGAGAAAAGTTTAGAATGCTATGGGCTTGGCTTACTAAAGGAAGAGATAATTATCTTGTTCACTAAGTTGGATTGGTGAATAAGATAAAGCTATGTTCATTTT